GGACCATGACCTGAGCTGAAGGCAGTTGCTTAACCAACTGAGCCACCCAGGCGCCCAAAAATACATACTTTCTTTAAAAAAAGAAAAAGAAACCAAGATCTGGGCATTAGATGTACTCATCTCTGGGCTGGGGTGGGTGTCATTGCTGTTTGGCCCTCTCAGCAGAGCTAGTAAATATGTATGTGTATACTAACCCATATATATATATATATTTATATTTCTACATCCAACCATATCTACTGTCTCTAATATTCCCTTGGTGTAGTATAAAATGTTATAATTCTGTAAGCAAATTTAGTTCCCTGATTACAGTTTTTTTTTCTGAGACAAAGTGTACATTATCACCAAACATTGTGAAAGCCTAGCAGCATCCAAACATACAATTAACCCTTATGTTGGCCCTAAAGGTCTAGTATGTGGCTTGACTTTGTGGAAGTGAAGTCTTCCCTGTTTCACAGGACCCCTGTATTTCTTCCTTTTTCTACTCCGAAAGAGAGCCACTTAGCATAAGTCATAGAAATATGTGCTGGGAGCTATCAGAAACATTAAGAGAAAGGTTTTTTGGTCCAGCATATGCTCCACTCTAAAGAAATGAGGACCCGGGACTGTTCCTACAGTCCACAGTGGAACCCGAAACCCAGGTTGGGATGGGGCAGACATGGGCAGAGAAAGGGAAGGGCAACCTGAAGGGAAATGCATATCCAGGAATCTTCTGAAGTTGACTCTAGAGAGAGACCAAAAAGTAACCAAATGGGGAAGTGAAGAAACAGTTTTACCACTAACTGGGATCCACGAGTGCTGGAGAAGGCGCTTTTCTTTCTGGCAATGAACAGTTCCTTCTAGATGTGACAGGGCAACATGACAGGGTTACAATTCCAATCTGCAATATCTTGGATAATGAACTTCCAACTGTATCTAAAGTAGGATTTTGACATAAAAGAACAATTTAGTTTTCAGAATTTTTATCTGGGTTTCTTTCAGAGATTTTTAGTGCTTATATCTATACTCTAGAAAAGACAAACCCAACTCATTAAATGACAGTATAAAGATTTCAATAAGGGTGAATGAAGACCAACTGTACCAGTTTAGGAATAAAACAAAATAAGTAAAACTATTCTTTCCATGACTATATGCTAACCTGGCAGTACCTCTAACTACTTAAGTAATTTTCTTCCTTTTAATGACCTTTGTTTATTTATTTAAATTTTTTTTTTTTTTTTTTGGCTACAGAAACAATCTATCATAATTTTAAAGTTCGGGTAACACCAACAAGCAAAATGAAGAAAATAAAAATCATATATAATTCCAAGATCCAGAAACAATCACTATTTATATTTTTGAACAGTCTTTTTTTTTCCTCCTACGGACATACACATAAATATAATTCATAAAAATTGAATCACGTTTTATATAGTGTTTAGTATAAAACCTGCTCTTTTACATCTAACACTGTATTATGAACATCTATGCTCACTTGGGCTTGCCCTTCTCCAATATTAAGAAGCTGGATCTAAACATGGAAGGTACATGGACTGAATCCTCACTTTTAAAGGTTTTTATTTATTCGACAGAGAGAGCGAGAGAGCACAAGCAGGGGGAACAGCAGAGGGAGAGGGAGAAGCAGGCTCCCTGCCGAGCAGGGAGCCCAATGTGGGGCTCGATCCCCGGATCCTGGGATCATGACCTGAGCC